TCTCTCTCTCTCTCTCTCTCTCTCTCTCTCTCTCTCTCTCTCTCTCTCTCTCTCTCTCTCTCTCTCTCTCTCTCTGTCATCCCCAGAAGTCCTCTCCCCTTTCTGAGTTTCTTTTCTCCCCTCAGCTCCCTGCGTTTCTGACTCTCTGCCTCCTTGTCTGTCTGCCTGTGACACGTGCTGTCCCTGCCCCAAACCCTGGGCCAGTAGGCAGTGGCCCCCCCACAGGTAAGACCATATGGCACTCCAGAACCTACAGGTGTGAGGGTGAGCAGACGGGTGAGCCCAGAGCCAAGGTGCTGAGGAAAACGCATTGGGAGACAAGAACGTCAGAGGCCTTCCTGGCCAACCCTCCCTGTTACTAGGCAAACTAGAGCCGAGAGGAGTAGAAAGACTTAATGAGAATGGTGCTGTGAGTAGCACCTGCGACCAGCAGATGCGGTCCTGTGTTCTCACTAACACCTGCCTTCATGGGACCCTCAGGTGGAAGACGGGTATAGGAGACAAGAAATCGGGAGGCCTGATGAAGGACAGAAGCCAAGGGCCTGAGAGTATGGCAAGCCAGGAAGGAAGGCCTGAGGGGGAGGGAGAGGGGGAGGGGCCTGGTCGGGTCTGAGACAGGGACTAATGGAGCATTTGGCATCCCCTCCCAGGAATGGCCATGAAGACCCTGATTGCTGCACTGGTTCTGATTGCTACAGGTGGGAAGACAAGGAACGAGACGGGACGGGGAGGTTTCGGGGACAGGGTGGGGGTTGATGCGGGGGCACGGACTGCAAGTGGGGACGGGGATGCAAACGGGTATGGAGGTGGGGTGGGTTTGGAATGAGAAAGAAGTTTGGGGCTGGGTGAGAAATGGGGGATACAGACAGGGAAGGGGGTGGGAGGTGAGTGTGAAGACAGGAAAGAGCTTGAGGATGGGGCTGGCTTTGGGGGTGGGACAGATAAATTTGGGCATAGGGACGGAGATGATTTTGATGATTAAGACGGCTGGGTTCAGCCTGGGGGTGCGCCTGTTGTCTGCAGACCTCCTCTCTGAGCCCAATACTCCCTTCCACAGTCCGGGCAGAGCAGAAGGAAAAGTTGCTGCATGGCGGACCCTGTGAGGAAATGTCTCACCCCTACCAAGCTGCCCTCTACACCTCAGGCCACCTGCTCTGCGGGGGGGTCCTCATTCACCCACAGTGGGTCCTCACCGCTGCCCACTGCAAAAAACCGTGAGTTTCCACATCGTGAACGGGGACTGGTTGCAATTAGGCCCTGCCAGTGTCTCGCAGACTCCAGGCATGAGATGACACACACAGCCCCCTATCCCAGCGTGAGGACGTCTGATAACCAGGTTTATCTGGCCAATATTTAATTAAGTATTAAATATGCACCAGGCCCTGGGGGTCCAGCAGTGAAAAAAACAAGCGCAATTGCTGCTTTCACGAACTGACCTTCTCATTGGAGAGTCAGATCGCGCAAGGCCCTGTAGGGAGACATGGAGCAATGGATTTAATTCTAAGCGCAGTGGGAAGCCCCTGGAGAGTTTTCATCTGGGAAGCCGCAAGATCTGATTTACATTTTTAAGAGCACTCCCGGCTATGATGTGGGAAATGGCCTGGGCGAGAGGAGAAGGGATGCCTGTGGACACGGTTGACATCATCCGGGGCCGTAAGAGGATGGTTTGGTCCAGGATGTTGGCAGTGGGGATGGATGGAAGTTAAGAACCTTGCGAGGTATTTTGAGACGGAGTCGGCAAGATATGGTGATGTGGGACGGGAGGGGAAAACAGCACGCAGGGCTGACCTGCAAGCATTTGACTTAAACAGCTGGGTGTTTGGTCATGTCTTTCTTTGAGTCAGAGGAGAGCAAAAGAGAAGCAGTTTGGATAAGGGCAGGGGAGCATCAGACATTTTGCTTTAGCCGAGGTGAGTTTGAGGTACCTGGGAGATATCCAAGAAGGATGCCAGGTTGGCCACTGGTGCTCAGGGCAGAGGTCAGAGCAGGAAGGTAAACATTAAAGTGCCATCTGCAAGCAGGTAGTATTTAAAGCCACAGGATGGGATGAGATCACCAAAGAGATAGATAGAGGAACGTAGAGGGCCCAGAACGAACCCTCAGAGCACTGAGAATCACCAGTTAGATTAACAACAGCTATTCAACACTAACTACAGTGAAGCAGTTTAATATACCTTTCCTAGAATTCCCACCATAGGGACCTCTTGGCTCCATTTTGCAGGTGAGGAAACTGAGGCTCAGAGAAGTAGCAAGTAGCAACTCAAGTGCTTGGAAAGCAACAGGTGGCATGCCTCACTGTGAGAGAGGGGTCTCATCATGTAGAGTTGTGGACTCGAGACCCCCAGGTGGACTCCCCCATGTTCAGCATCACTGCCACCATCCTCACTCATTCATTCTGTGCCCATTGAGTGAGAGCACCCACTAAGGGTCAGATATGAGTTGGACAGTGGGGATTCAGGAGTGGGTGAGAGATGCACACAGAGTCCCTACCCTTGGGAACATAGGGGCAGAACGATAGTTAACAAACTCTCGAAAAACCATACAACTATAAATTACCCTAAGTCAAATGAAGGAGAAGAACAGGGGTGGCTCCCTGAGAGCAAAGAGCAGAGGTAACTACCTTAGATGGAAGAGGGTGTCAGGAAGGACTTGCTGATAAGATGACATTTAAGCTGAGACAGAAAACAAGAAAGGGTAGCCGAGGGAAGTCGGGGAAGAGTATTCAGGGCAGAGGATGGTGGGATGAGGCACTTGGGCCTTATTCTGAGGGCAATGGGGAACCATGGGAGGCTCTTGAGCAAGGGAGTGACTCTGATCCATTTCACAAATATTTACTGAACACATATCATGTTCCAGACACTGGTCTAGGCACTGAGGATGCTATATCTGAACAAAACAAAAACCCCATCTTGATATTCTAGAGGTATGCCACCAGCCAAACATGGCTAATTAGACATACATTAATAAGAATGAAATGATATTCCAAATCCACAAGCCACATTTCAAGTGCTCAGTAGCTGCTTGTGGCTAGTGGCCACTGTATCAAACAGCACAGATACAGAATATTTCCACTATTGCAGACAGTTCTATCGGGCACCGATGCTATGGTAGGAAGAGAGACAATAAAACAAGTAAATATTTAACAACACAGATGTCATATATAAAATAATGATGATAGGTTTTCTGGTGGAAATGAAAGCAGGAAAGGGAGATAGGAATTGCCTGTTTGGTTTTTGCATTCCCATTGGGTTGCCAGGAAAGGCCTCACAGAGAAGGTGACATTTGTAGGAGGTGAGGGAGTGAGTCATGCAGATGTCTGGAGGAAAGAGTTGCTAGCAGAGGAAACAGCCAATGCAAAGGCCCTGGGGTGAGAGGATGACTATTGTGTTCAAGGAAAGGCAGGGGAGCCAGTGTGACTGGAGCAGAGGCGAGAGGAAGAGAGTGGGAGGAGGTGTCTCAGAGGTAATGGGCAGGACCTTGTGGGTCCTAGTGAACACTTTGGCTTTTACTCTGAGTGAGATGAGAGTCATGGGAGAATTCCGAGCAAAGGAAGGACAGGACCGACTTATGTTGTAAAATATCTCTGGCTGCTTTGTGGAGGACGCATTATAGATGACCAAAGGCACAAGCAAGGAGTCCAGTGAGATGGCTACCGCCATAGTCCAGCTAAGAGATGGTGGTGGCTCAGACCAAGATGGTAGCAGCGGGAAAGGTAAGAGGTGGTCAGATTCTGGATATACATTAGAGAGACAAAAGGATTTCTGGACAGCTTAGATGTGAGGCATGAAATAGAGAGTCAAGAATAGTCTCCAAGGTTATTCTGGAAGGATGGACTTGTCATTTACTGAGCTGGGAAGACTGAAGGACATGGGCCAGATGGTTCGTGGTGCATAAGGTTACCCCACCCCTCACCACAGCCCTATCTGGAGTCTCAGCTGCAGCCCAAGGGCTACAGATGAGACCCAGCCCTCCTCTTTCCCAGGAATCTTAAGGTCTACTTGGGAAAGCACAACATTAAAGAAAGAGAGAGTTCCCAGGAAGAGAACTCTGTTGCCTGGGCTGTGGCCCACCCTAGCTACAATGCTGCCACCCATGACAATGACATCATGTTATTACGGCTGAAGTACCCCGCCAGACTGTCCAAATACATCCAGCCCCTGAGCCTGGAGAGAGACTGCTCGGCCGACCACATTAACTGCCGCATCCTAGGCTGGGGCAAGACAGCAAACGGTCAGTAGGATGAGGACAACGGCGGAGCAGGTCAATGGGTGATGGGTTATGGGGAAGGTGGATCAAAGGGTGAAGGGTCAAAGATGAAAGTGGTCCAACGGTGAGGACCAATGGGGCAGTGTATCAATGGATGTAAGTTCATTGGAGAGGGAAGGCAAATATGGGAGTTGGGCCAATGAGTGAAAGTAGACCAGTGGGTAAATGATATGGGAGGATGGGTCATAAGATGAAGTGTCACTGAGGAGGAAGGGAGATACTAATCAGGAAGGAGGCCAGTTGTCAAAAAGTACCAATCAGGATGCACTGATGATCAAAAAAGGGATAAATGGAAGAGGGACTAATGAAAGAAGAGAGATCAATAAAGCCAGGGAGACAACTGAAGGATGTGAATTGAGAGAGTGAATGGGTAGAGAGAGCTAACAGGGGAGGTACCATTGGGGAAGAAGGAATAATCAGTAGGAGTCACTAGAGAAAAGACCAGAGGAAGAAACAAGTCTGATAGACTAATAAGAACCATTGAACATGGGCCTGCAGGTGAAGGGCTAAAAAGGAGGCAGACCATTGGATGAAGGGCCAATAAAAGGGTACAGTCAGTGGTGGACAGCAGCAGCATTTAGGAAAGGACCAATGAGGGATGTGGGCCATTGGATGAAGGACCAATGGAAAGGGAGAGCCAATGAGGAAAGAAGGGACCAATTAAGTTAAGAAAGGATTAATGATCAAGTGGTGACCAGTCAGGATGAACCAATGGGCAAGAATGGTCCAATGAAGGATGAAGGGGTATAATGGAGGAGGTCACTAATAGAAGAGAGTCTAGAAGTCAGCTGGAACTACTGAAGAAGGTGGGACCAATGGAAGAGAGACATGTGAAGGCAGGATCTAAGAGAAAGGAAAAACCAACAGGAAGCGAAGACTCTTGGAGGAGGGATGACCAATGAGGAAAACAAGCCAATGGGAGGAAAGAATGATGTAAAGAAGGACCAGTCAGGGGTCAGGGCCAATGGAACTGGGTTTTAAGAATGTACAACAAATAGGAAGAAGGAAACCAGTGGGAAATAAGGACCAACGGAGAGGGGGGAGGGACTTTTGGGGGTTGGAGGATCGCTGGGGAGGATGCGGAAAGTGCGGGTTGTAAAATGAGCCTGGTCCCTCTCTGTCATTAGGTGGTTTTCCTAACACCCTCCAGTGTGCATACATTCACCTGGTGACCCGTGAGGAGTGTGAGCGTGCCTACCCTGGTCAGATCACCCAAAATATGTTGTGCGCTGGGGATGAGAAGTACGGGAAGGATTCCTGCCAGGTGAGGCCAATTACGGGACGCGCCAGTTACATAACAAAGAACAGAGACACGAAAACACAGACAGAGACAGGAAGAGAGAGACACATGCAGACCAAAACAGAGCTTCACGGAGATAGGCTGGGAGAGAATCCAAGACGTGAAAATGTGAGAGACTCAATTTGACAGAGACACAATCGGTTACCAATAGAGATTCAAGGACAGCTAACAGAGACAGAAAATGCAGTCAAGGATGGAGATGGAGACATCAAGAACCAGAGTGACACAGTAAGAAGCAGATGGTGTGACGGGACTGTCCCTCAAGCAGGGCCCCCACAAGTCCTGCTTGGACATGGCCAAGCTGTGGAGGAGGAAAGTCCTAGCTGGAGAGAGAGGGGGCTCCATCCCCACTCCTAAATACCTTGAACTTGGGTTTCCTCCACCACCATCCATTGGGTCTCTCCAGCTTATGCCAAAACTTACCCCCAGTGCATTGAAGGACCTGCAGAGACTAGCCAAGAGGGACAAAGAGACCAAGATAGAGAAAGTGACAGACAATGAGCTGGATCAAAAGGAAGGGCATACAGATCTCCCTCTCTCTCTCTCTCCACACCTCTCAGTCTCTGTTCTGTTCTTAACCTTTATTCTTTTCTTTCTCTTTTTCTGCCTATGCCTCTCTGGATCTTGGTGTTCTCTCTGTTTCTCCATGTTTCTGAGTCTCCCTCACTCTCCATTTCCCTGTCTGTGACTTTGTGTCTCTCTNTTGTCCAGATGCTTGCTACCCACGTTTTTCTCCATGTCTCCATCCAGCCCAGGATACCGGGGAAAGGATTATTAATGGAGGTCCATGTCCAAAGGGCTCCCGTCCCTGGCAGGTGGCCCTGCTCAGCGGCAGTCAGCTCCACTGTGGAGGCGTGCTGGTCAACGAGATGTGGGTGCTCACCGCCGCCCACTGCAGAAAGAAGTACGTGACAACAGGTGCCGCAGGGACTCCAGCTCTTCTGGGCCTCTGTCCCCCTCTCTCTGGGACCCTGTTCCCCTTCTAAGGGTCTCTGTCCCTTGTCTCTGGGTCCCCTCTCTCTGGATCCCTGTTCCCTCTCTCTAGGTCATCGTCACCCCTCTCTGGGTCTTTCTTTGCTTCTCTCCCTAGGTCTCTGTCTCCCTCTCCCAAGGTCCCATCTCCTGTCTCTGGGTCTCAGTTCCTCCCTTTTGGTCCCGCTCCTTCTCTCTCTGGGTCTCAGTTCCCCTCTTTCTGGATCTCTATTCTCTTCTTTCTGGGTCCCTGTACCCCATTATGGTTACTATTCCTCCCTTTCTCTGGGTCTCTGTCCCTTCTCTCAGTCACAGTGTCTTTCTCTGAATGTCGCCCTCCTCTCCCAGCGAGTACACTGTGTACATGGGCAGTAACCGGCTGAACAACAGGAGAGCCCAGAAGATCAGGGCCAGAAGGTCATTCGTGCACCCCAACTACTCCACACAGACCCACGTTAATGACATCATGCTTGTGAAGCTA